TTTGCGAACAAGTTTGAGTTTAATAAACGAGCTCAACTAGTCATATTTTGGCATGCTCACATAAAAGAGTGGCTTAAACAAATCGAGTTCGAGACTAATTGAGTTGTATTCTCGAATACCTGAGTTTGAATAACAATTTTACTCAGACCATCTTCAGCTCTTATCTTTGTTCTAGCACGGACTTTACTCTATTCTAGAGTAGAGTGAAACATTCGTCTCCAACTCTTATCTCTGCATTTTACTCTACAACAAATATATTACTCTTTTATTCATTTTTATTTCAAATAAATTGGTATATATATATATACATGATATGTAATCTTATATAAATATTTATTACCCAAATTAAATTGCATTTTGTCAATTTTATGATTTACGTTTGTATATTTAATATTATGCTGTTTTTATTTGTGTATTTTATGATTTACTTTGTTGTAAACTTTTAACATTAATGAAATCTGCTTGTTGGAATGTCTTAAATTTTTATTCATATGGTACCATTTTTAATATAAAAAATTTCAAAATAGATTATAATATATCGGTAAATAAAAAATAAAAAATATTTAGCATAAAAAAATAGTTTGCACAAAGTTATTTATCATAAAATTACATGTATAATACACATTATACAAAATTCATCACTAATATTACATTAGGAAAAAAATAATGTTGCGCTAGATCTGGCACAACACTGTTTATTTATCTAACTAGGGCTAAAATATAGCGCTGTCGTGGAGATAATTTCTCACGCTCTCAATGATTGAAAAAGGTTGTTATTATTCATTATTTTCCTTGGTAATAATGTGAAAAAAAAATCTTATTTCAATACAAAATAATCACACATCATGATGAAATAAAATAAAATTTTGAGATAACTTTTATATACGTGCAGTTTTAAGGTTGGTCAGATCATAAGTCATAACTAAGCATTTCTCACCTAGAAATGATTCCTCTAAGTTAATTACAACAAAAACAAATATGGAACATGTAATTAAATTATTGA